TCTGTTCTTCCAACGTGCTGTTATGATCTGAATATTTGTGCCCCCCTAAACTCATGTTAAAATATTAACCGCAAATTGATCCCATTAAGAGGTATAGGGACTGAGGATGTAGCTCAGTGGTCCAGAATGCCTGAGGCCCTGGGTTCAATCCCCATCACATCACTCCCCCAAAAAGGTATAGTCTTTGAGAAGGGATTAGGTCACATTTACTTGCCCTTATAAAAAAGGACCCAGAAAATTTCCCTGCCTCTTCTATCCTATGAAAAAAATAACTATACGGTGTCTATGATACAGGAAATAAAACCTTAACAGACATAAAAGCTGCTAGTGCCATGACCTTGGACTTCCTAGACTCCAGTACTGGGAATTAAATTTTTGTTGTTTACGAGTTACCACAGCCTTTTGCATAGCTTGCTACTTCTCATACTTAGCAATCTGGCTCAAACATCAGAGTGTCTTATCTATTTCTTTCCTAACTAACTTCTCTAAGTCACTGTTCAGACTATTTGCATACTTGAAATTGTATCACTTATTTGCTCTCCTTTATTGTCTGTCTTCCCTTTACTAAGATACAAACTCTAAGACATGTAAGTTCTTGTCTGGTAACTATGATACCTATTTTTTTTTTCTTTTTCTTTCTTTTATTGTGGGGGAGAGATGCTAGAGATCCAACCCAGGACCTCACATATGCTAGGCAACACTTTACTGCCAAGCTATATTCTTAGTCCAGGACACTCTGATATCTCTAGTGCCTGAAAATTGTCCACCATAAAGTTGTTCAATATAACACTAATTTTATTCAATAAAATATTCATACCCACTCATTAAAACATTTTCAAAATAATGAAGTCTCATTATTTAAACAAAGCAATTTCAGCAGTGGGGGTGGGATGGCAGAAAATCTGAAGGGGACTAAGGAATGACTGAGGATTTTTTTAAAAAGGAAATAAAAAATATACACTACTTTTAAGCATAATTACAAGAGGAAGAGGAAGAAACAGTCGGAGGAAGACCAAAGTTGTACAAGGGCAACTATAAGAGTAAAAAAAACAAGAGGCTGCGGCAGGACGATCACAGCAAGTTCCAGGCCAGCCTGGGCTACAGACTGAGTTCAAGGCCAGCTTGAACTACATGGTGAAAACCATATCTCAAAAAAGAAAAAAAAAAGTTGCTAATTCTCTAAATTAAGGATTTTTTTTTTTTTTTTTTTTTTTTTTTTTTTAAGAATCAAACAAAAGCCCTGGGCCCTCTTCTCAGAAAAGTGCAAATAAAGGTTGAACGTCCCTAATCTAAAAATCCAAAATTCTTTGAGTGCTGATGCCACAACTAAAAAATGTCACATCTGACCTCATGTGTATGGCCATAATAGGCACATCAACAATATTGTCCAAAATTACCAGAAGGTAGGTGCAATAGTAAATGCATATAAACTCAGCTACTTGACAGGCTGAGACAGAAGGATAACAAGTTTGAGACCAGCCTAGGGCAACTAAGCAAGATCATCTTAAAATAAAAAATCAAAACGAGCTGAGGGTGAGGGAGAGTGGTAGAGTGCCCCGGGGTTTGATTCTCAGCACTAAAAAAACTCAAACAAACAAACAAACACCTTCACGCCCCATGTTTAACGTACATATATATGAAATTTAAATGAATGTTATGTTTAAACTTGGGTTCCATCCCCAAAATATCTCATATTTATGCATATGTCAACCCCCCACCAAAATTCACAATGTAGTCTGACACTGTGGTTTCAATTGTTTTGGATAAGGAATACTCAATCTACACACAAAACTTTGCAAATTCAGGTGTTTGAAGAACTCCCTGAAGTTCATGGCCTCAGAGGTAGAACAGTATAGAAACAATCATTCCTAACATGGGTTAATGTAACTGATAGAGAAAGAAAATGAGGTAATATGAGGAAAGCCAAGTAGAGTGCATCGTCCTGACACAAGAATTAAAAAAAAAAAAAAGGGAAAAGTGAAGATTTAGATGAGGGGGGGTAGAAATATGCAGAAGTTCCTGGTAAATTTTTCATTTTTTGGAGAAATAAGAGATAAGATCTACCCTACCAACTGGCTCACTTCAAAACAAGATTCTCCTATGATGTATGTATAAGAATATTTGCCAGCTATGATAGCATACACCTGTAATCCCAGCATTCAAGCAGCTAAGGCAGGATTACTGCAAGTTGGAGTCCTGCCTGGGCTACATAGTGAGTAAAATACCAGCCTGAATTACATAGAAAGACCTTATTTCCAAAAGGAAAAGAAAGGGAGGGGAGAGAAAGGAAGGAAGAGAGGAAGAAAGAATATTCACAGCAGTAGCCAGCTATGATAGCATACACCTGTAATCCCAGCATTCAAGCAGCTAAGGCAGGATTACTGCAAGTTGGAGTCCTGCCTGGGCTACATAGTGAGTAAAATACGCGCCTGAATTACATAGAAAGACCTTATTTCCAAAAGGAAAAGAAAGGGAGGGGAGAGAAAGGAAGGAAGAGAGGAAGAAAGAATATTCACAGCAGTATCTTTCATAATCGCCCAGAACTATTTAAAAAAAAAAAAAAACTTCATCAACAGTAGATAAACTGGCTTACTTTAACAATGGACTACTACTCTGAAAATTACAAGCAACAAGGATAAATCTTAAAAACACAATATTCAAGCATTCTAATGTAAAATAAATCAGACTCCCAAGCTTAAATATCCTATGGTTTCTCTTATACAAGAAGCCCAAAGTACAAATAAAGAAAAAATTTTTTATTGAGAAGGGTCTCACTATGTGGCCCAGGTTGGCCTCAAATTCTCAGCGATCCTCCTGCCTCAGGCTTCCAAGTGCTGGATGGGATCACAGGTGTGTACCTCCATGTCTGGCCCAAAGTACAAATAATTTAAAAAGCAAAATAATAGGCAATAGGAAACAAGGAGATAGATCTTTTGCAAATGGGAAGGGGATCAACAGACGGAGGGAGGGGTGCAAGGGCGGGCAGGGAAGAGGACATAAAAAGAATTAAGATGTGTCATGTACAAGTACCAACTCCTCACAATTAACGTATTCATTACGTATGCAAACGTGTAAAACACGCTACGTTGTATGAAAAAGCAAGCTACAAAAAGATACTTAGTAAAATTCTATTTACATAAGGTGCAAAACAAAATCAAACTATACAGTGTATGTTCATATTATACAAAGATGGTGAAACTACAAGGAAAAGAAAGGAAGTGGGTATGTTAGAAGCCAGGACAGTGGCTCTAATTGCCTATGCAACACGGGGGATTTAAAACTAGGCCAGCTTACAACAAACTAAACTAAGCAACTGAAAAAGACAAAAAAGCATTCAACCAATCTCTAAACCTGAATGTACTCTGGGATACATAATGATTTTTTTTTTCTTCACAAAGCAAATAAAATGAGATGTATTTTGAAAGCTGCTATTAAATAATGCCTAAGTTTAGACCTGAAATAAATATTTCACTAACGCAATAAGCTTAGTCGTTTCCCAATAATTAAGACCGAAGGACTTAGTTCACTGATCAATTGAGATATATAAACAAGAACCAGTTTTATTCTGGATGCAGAAGTAAATGTGACACTTTGCTTTTTTTATTTATAATCTACTCGTTCCATTTACAAACCGAATGTTATTCTGTATCTCCGTACAAGTAAATAAAATGTACTTGAAAATGTAGACAACTAATAGAATTTAAAATAGCAAACATCCCGTGATATAAGGGCCTAAAATGGAAAAGGAAAAACACTCTGAGACACTAATCTATGCAATGTTTCCGTGAAACCAGAATTCTTTATTTTATTTGAAAATATAAAAGGACATATGTAGCGTTGAGGCATAAGTTCATTATCACCTGTATTTGAGACTTCAATAGTTTTTCAAACAGAAGCCAGCTTACCCTGCCTTTCCTGTGGACAATTTCTACTGAAATTATATGAGACTTTATGCAAATGTCTACATCGTCTAGTCCCTTCGCTTGACAAAGTCTACAAAGACAATTCAGAAGGGAGAGACTGACAGTCAGGAGGAAACAACGTGAACTTCCAAATCTCTGACTTCCAAGTTTCTCGGCTCCACTCCAGAGCGTTTCTAAGCACAACAGTCCCCCAACAATCAAGAGACAAGCTGCGGCAGGAAGCGAGGCGGTCACCATAGGAACTGGGCTCACTCCTGAATCCCGAGACTCGACTCCAAGGATTAGGCTGGCCCCTGGAGAGTTTCCTGGGCCGCCCCTTCCCTCAGCAGCCCAGGCCGCAGAGACCCACCCGGGCTGCCCGCAGTCCCCGCGCATCTCCGAAGCGTCTACCTGGAGCTCCGGGGCCCTCCCCGGGTTTTCGAGCCCGACGTCTTCCCCGGTGCTCATCCCTGCGACTGCCGGGCTCGGGCCACCGCGATCCGACAAAATCCTGCCGGGTCTCCATCCTCCGCCCCTTGCCCCGCCTTT